GGTCTTTAGCCATTATTTCCTCAAATACTTTTTCGCTCATGCACTCTTTCTCTTCTCCTTCCAACACAAAAATGACACAAATATATCTTTTGTCATAGTCCCACAGGTTCTTGAGGCTTTGTTCTGTATTTTTAGTGTATCCTCTCTTTTCAAAAGGGTTAATTTCTGTTTCTCTATATTCAAGTTCCCCGATTCTTTTCTCTTTTCTCTCCATTATGCTGTTGCATCCATTCATTGAGTGTTTACTTTATTTTAGAGATGGGGTCTCACTATATTGCCCAGGATGGTCTTGAACTCCTTGTCTCAAAGGAATCTCTCACCTTAGCCTTCTGAGTAGCTAGGATTACAGCTGCATCCCAAGCACACCCCGCCCACTGAGTTTTATTTCAGTTATTGTATTTTCTGGTTCTAAAGTTCCATTTGGTTCTCCTATATATCTTTATTTGTTAAGATTTTCAGTATTTTCATTGCTTTCCAGCATTTGATTTGTGGTGTTAGCACAGTTTGGAACATCTTATTTGCTCACTGAAGCTTTTTCATGATGACTGCTTTTAAAATCCACATAGGATAATTCCAACACCTACGTCATTTTGGTATTGGTATCCATTGATTGTATTTTCTTTCTCAATTTTAGATTTTCCAGATTCTCAAAGATAGATTTTTAAATTATATCCTAAATATTTTTGGTATCATGTTATGAAACTCCGGATGCTATTTAAATGAAAATCCAGATTCACTACTCAAATCTCTCTGACACAGGGGCTGGAGGGTGGGAGGGGAAGTGGTGCCTTATTACTGCTTAGGAGAGATGGGTTTCAGGATTCTCACTAGGCCTCCATCTACACTACTCTGGCTAGGAAGAGCAGCACGCCTCCTTGCTATTTTCTATGTGGCCTCCACTGACACCATGGTGTGTGTGGAGGGGAATGGGGAGAGCTTATTACTGCTGGGTGGAGATAAAAGTCTAGGTTCCCCACTCAGCCTCCACTAACACTGTGGAAGGGGCAGGTGTGAGATTGGAAGGGAAGTGTCTCCTTGTTACTGCTTGGCAGAGGTGAAATTTCACTCCCTGCCAGGCTTCCACTGACACCATCCTGGCAGGAGGGGGAAGACACATTGTAACTGTTCTCTATGTAGCTTCCACTGACCCTGTGAAGATAAGAAAGCCCCGTATTACTGGATGATCACAAACGTTTCACCTTCCCACTCAACTTCTGGTGACTCAGCCCAGAAAAGAAGAGAAGGGGCATCTCATTATCACTGGGTGTGGGCACAACTCAAGTTTCTTGCATGGTGTCCACTGACACCATTGGGGGTTATTCATTTCTACCAGGTGAGGATGAAAGTACTTATTCTCCACATAGTCTTCTCTGGTATCACCCCAAAGGGTAGAGATGGGTGAGTGTTTACAATCTGATGAGTGTGGAATCAATGCTCCCCACTCAGTCTGCTGGCATTGTGGGGGTGGAGCTGTGTTTTATTCCATTGTCCTTTGCTAAAACAGGCCAGTTAGAGTCTAAAAGCTTGCTTTTTTACTATATGTCCCCTTTTCTGGTTCTTTTTCTAGAGGTAGCCTTTCAGAGTCTTATGTTTATTTTACTTAAAATATTGAGAGATTTTAGCCATGCTCAGCAGAAATAGTACTGAGAAGTGTATCTATTTCATCTCATCCCCCAAACAGAAGTCCTTTTATTTTTAATACAAATAAAAAAAAGTATATATTTTTGCATTCCCCCTTCTTACATTAAAAAGTATCATGCTACTCACATCTTTATAAATTTTTTTTTTTTTTTTTTTTTTTTTTTTTTTTTTTTACTTTATATCCAAAGCACTATTTGGAGATTTTCATCAGTTTTCTTTACATCTAACTTAGTGTCCACCTTTGTGTGGTTATATGATAGTATTTCATGCACCCTACAATGATGAGTATTTACATTTTTCCATTTTTTTGTTCTTCAAATAGTGCCACAGGGCATTTGGTAGATATTAGCAAATTCCCGTCCATAGTGGTTGTGTTAGTTTTCTACGGATACTATAACAAATTACCACAAAATGAGTGTCTATAAACAGCTGAAATTTATTTTCACAGTTCTGGAGGCCAGAGTTCAAAATCAGTTTCATTGGGCCAAAACTAAGGTATCAGCAGGACCATCCTTTTTCCAGAGGCTCTAGGAAATAATCAATTTCTTGCCTTTTCTAGTTTCTGGTTTTCCAGCATTCCTTGGTTTGTAGCTTCATTGGTCCAATTTCTGCATACCTGGTCACACTGCCTTACTGCCTTCTACTGTTCTATCTGTGTCAATTCCCTCCCTCCCTCCCTCCCTCCCTCCCTCCCTTCCTTCCTTCCTCTCTTTCTCCTCTCTCTCTCTCTCTCCCCTCAGTCTCGCTCTGTTGCCAGTCTGGAGTGCAATGGCGCAATCTTGGCTCACTTCAACCTCAGGGTCCCCTGTTCAAGCGATTTTCCTGCCTCAGCCTGCCAAGTAGCTGGGACTACAGGCGTGCACCACCATGCCCGGCTAATTTTTTGTATTTTAGTAGGGACAGGGTTTCACCACGTTGGCCAGGATGGTCTCTATCTCCTGACCTCGTGATCTGCCCACCTCGGCCTCTCAAAGTGCTGGGATTACAGGCATTAGCCACCGCGCCCAGCCCTGCTTCTTTTTTTTCATAGAGGGAGTCTTGCTCTGTCGCCAGGCTGGAGTGCAGTGGCGCGATTTCAGCTCACTGCAACCTCTGCCTCCCGGGTTCAAGCGTTTCCCCTGCCTCAGCCTCCCAAGTAGCTGGGACTACAGGTGTGAGCCATCGTGCTTGGCCACTGCCTCTTTCTTATAAGAACATCTGGTATTGCATTTAGGGACTATCTGGATAGTCGAGTATATAATCTCTCCATTTCAAGATTCTTAACGTAATCCCATCTGCCAAGATCCTTTTCCCATGAGTAATATTATCAGTCTTCAAGCAGTGAGACCTTACATCTTTGGGGGCCAGTATTAAGCCTTCTACTTTGATCATACCATTTTCCATCCCTGTGAGCAATGTACAAAAACACGTGCCTTTTTGCACTCCCTCATGAACTAAGTGAATTGACAAACCTATGAATATTTGACAATCTAATAGGTGAAGAATGGTACTTAGTATAGTTTTAATTATATCTCCCTTACTAGAACCAAGTTTGAGTTTCTTTGCATTTTCTTCCATTAACTGTTTATGGTTCTTACAAGTCTTTGATAGGGTTGTTGTTTTTTAATGGCTTTATATTTATAAGCTTTTACATAGAATGGATAGCAACACTTTCTTAGAAATATTAGTTGAGAATATTTTAGATATCTTTTAGTTGTATACCATGTTTTTTGTCATACAATGTTGCTGTTATTTTAATTTTGTTAAATGTATCAACCTTTTTTCCTTAATGCACCTGGATTTTGAGTCATAGTTATGAAAGTGTTCTTCACTTCCTCATGATAGAGGAATTCACCAGTGTTTTTTCCTAATATTTGTATGCATTCATGTTTTACATTAAAATCTGCACCCTTTGGAATTTATTCTGATGTAAAATTAATCCCTTTTTGCCTTTATAACTATTTGGTTTGCTAGCTATCAGAACACCACTTCTGAAATTATCAATCATATCTTCAATGATTTGAAATGCACCTTAATCACATGCTATTAACAAATTCCAAATGTAATACTAGAATATAAATACAATATCAGTATTTTCTCTATTTTATTAGCTTTTTCTGTCTATTTATGAGCCAGTGTCATACTTGTATATTGCACATACTTTATTATATGCATTAGTACCTGGTAGGGCTCCCTCCCTTCACTTTCTTCTTTTGCAGGGTTTATCTGACTAGTCTTGCGGTTTATTAAGCCAAATAAATTTGTAATTCCAGCACTTTGGGAAGCTGAGGCGGGCAGATCACATGAGATCAGGAGTTTGAGAGTTCAAGACCAGCCTGGCCAACATGTCAAAACCCCGTCTCTACTAAAAATACAAAAATTAGCCAGGGGTGGTGGAGCACGCCTGTAATCCCAGGTACTCAAGAGGCTGAGGCATGAGAATCACTTGCACCCAGGAGGCGGAGGTTGCAGTGAGCCACGACCACACCACCGCATCCAACCTGGGCAACAGAGTGAGAGAATGAGACTCTGTCTCAAAACAAAATAAACAAACAAAATATAAACAAACAAAAAAACTGAGATCACATTAAATTTGCCTTTTTAACTCAGCATGCTAGCCCCGAATATTGTTTTGCATTTCTGCACTTTTTGTAATTTGACACATTTTTTTAAAGTTTAATGAGTACATATAATGCTTATTTATTTATTTATTTTTGAGAAAGAGCCTTGCTCTGTCGCCCAGGCCTGAGTGCAGTGGCGCAGTCTCGGCTCACTGCAACCTCTGCCTCCTGGGTTCAAGCGATTCTCCTGCCTCAGCCTCCTGAGTAGCTGGGATTACAGGCGCCCGCCGCCACACCAGGCTAATTTTTGTATTTTTATTGGAGGCAGGGTTTCTCCATGTTGGCCAGGCAGGTCTCCAACTCCTGACCTCAGGTGATCCTCCAGCCTTGGCCTCCCAAAGTGCTGGGATTATATACAGGCATGAGCCACCGTGCGTGGCCTTATACTGCTTTTTATATGAATTATCTGTTAATATCATTTGCTCATTTCTCTATCCATTATTAAGAGGGTTTTTTTTCCATATCAAGTATATTAAGCAGGTTAGTTAAGAAGTTAGCATAAGCGGCCAGGCGTGGTGGCTCACGCCTGTAATCCCAGCACTTTGGGAGGCCGAGACAGGCGGATCACGAGGTCAGGAGATCGAGACCGTCCTGGCTAACATGGTGAAACCCAGTCTCTACTAAAAATACAAAAAATTAGCTGGGCATGGTGGCGGGCGCCTATAGTCCCAGCTACTCGGGAGACTGAGGCAGCGCCACTGCACTCCAGCCTGGGCGACAGAGCGAGACTCCGTCTCAAAAAAAAAAAAGAGTTCCTGTCAGCAGAGAACGCGGAGACACGCAGAACGCGGCCCAGTCCTTCAGGGCCCTCCAGGCCCTCCGGCCCCGGGCCGGCGGGTGAACTGGGGAGCCCCGGGACAGGCCGAGCCCTGTGCCATGCAGATACCGGAGGCCTCTGCTGCGGCTGCCCACTGGCTGTGCCCAGGCCTTGAAGCCGCCGCGAACCTCTCTTCCCCACCCCACCTCGGTGACTGATGGCGGCGGCGGCCTCTCCAGTCCCGGACCCGGCCGACCGCCGGGTCTCCCGGCCCAAGCCTGCCGGGCCTCAACGAAACCCCCGCAGAGCCGCCGGGACGCAGCGCCTTTGGGCGGCGGCGGGCGTGGCGGGCCGGGCAGCATGGCGGCCGCGTGGCGGAGGCCGTTAGGGCGTGTAGGGCCCAGGAAGGCGGCCTAGGGACGCAGGCAGGCTCGGCTGCCTCTTTAGGCCACGGAGCCGCGCAGATCCGGTTCCCGGGGGACCACTCTGTCGCCATTGGGCGAAACCTACCTAGTCCTGACGACAGCGGACAAAGGCCTTAACGGAGCTGGGAGGTGAGCGAAGTCCCGAACGACGACGGGTGGAACGATTAGCGGCCATCGGGCAGTTGGTCTTCGTTCTACCAGACTTTGCTGTTGGAAGAGAGAAATGGTAGAATGACACGCCACGTTTGGCCCGTTGGAAATGCCCGCCACCCTCTGGGAAGATTTACTGGCCGATTTTGGAAGGCCTGTGTATATAATATGAAAAAGCTGCTCTCAACTCCACCCCAACCTTTTAATAGAAAACATTTGTCACATCTAGCCCTTTTAGATGGAAGGAAGTTGCCAACGTATGATAAAGTAGAGTTAGAAAGTCACACATCTTGTAAATTCTCATTTGTTTAAAAGAAATCATAGAAAATACGTGTCTTCTGGAGATGACTTTTGGAAATGAAGTTGTTAGACAGCCTCTGGAAGCGATACGTCCACGTTAAGTGGGTTAGATGACATGGAGCTGGAAGACGTGAGAAGGAAGAGAAGGTTCTATGCTAGACTGGTCATATTTAGAAGACATTTTCATAGTCTATCCATTGTTTTGTGTGCATTTTATTCCTCACTACTGTGTATATAGTTGACAATGCTAAGCTTTTTTGAAATGTCTATTCTTTTTAGATGTTCTGAAGTGCCTGATATATGTTAAAATTAGAGGTAGCAAAATAACATTTTGTAAGTATCTTTTTGTTACAATTCATAGGAAATGTTTTTTGGGGGGAATGGCCAAATCACCTGTTGAGTAATACTCATTGTGTTTGTGCAGTGGTTCAGGGGAGGAGAGAGGAGGGGGAGGTGCAGAGAGCTCTATGCCATCCTGCTTGCAGTGAGGCAAGATGAATCATTATCTCTGTGCATTTTGTTTTACTTATCTGTGTATATAGTGTGCATAAAGGACAGACGAGTCCTAATTGACAACATCTAGTCTTTCTGGATGTTAAAGAGGTTGCCAGTGTATGACAAAAGTAGAGTTTAAACTAATATATTTTGTACATTTTGTTTTACAAGTCCTAGGAAAGATTATCTTCTGAAAATTTGATGTCTTCTGGGTTGATGGAGATGAAGGGTTCTAGGCCAGAATGTTCACATTTGGAAGACTTTTAAATTATAAGTGTTGTTACATGTTTGCAGTTTATTCAAGACTGCTATGTATATAGTGGACAAATTAACTCCTTACTTGAAACATCTAGTCTATCTAGATATTTAGAAGTGCCCGATGTATGTTAAATGTAGAGGTAGTAAAATACCACTTTGTAAATATCTTTTTGCTAAAATTCATAGGAAATACTTTTGGAAATTGAATTGCGAAGCCACCTTTGTGAGCAGTGTAGTAATGTCTATACTTGTTCAATGGTTTAGAGGTGGTGGGAGGGAAGAAATTGCAAAAGGTAATATACTAGTGTGTTCATACTTGGACATTTTCAAACATTTTTCTGTATGTTTTGTGCATTTTGTTTTGCTCTGTATATAGTGTATATAATGGACAAATAGTCCTAATTTTTCAACATCTAGTCTCTAGATGTTAAAGAGGTTGCCAGTGTATGACAAAGTAGTAAAATTAGCACATTTTGTATGCTTTGTGTTGAAATTCATAGGAAAACTTGTCTTCTGTAAATGACTTTTGCATAGGAATTTGTTCAACCATCTCTGAGCATTACACTTTCCTGTACTTGTCCACTGGATTAAAGACAGAGAAGGAAGGAAGAGAGGAGGGAATGATTCAAGGCCAAAATGGCCACATTTAGAAGATACCTCAGATGATAACTATTGTTATATGTGTGCAATTTTATTTACCAGTGCTGTGTACGTGGTGAACAAGTTATATGAAATATCTAGTCTTTCTAGATATTTGGAAGGAAGTGCTTGATGTATTTAAAAGTGGTAGTAGAATAACACTTTTTGTAAATAGCTTTTAAAAACTGATGGGAAATGCTGTTTGGAAGTGGAATTGTTGAACCACCTGGGAGGTGGGAGGGAAAAAACTGCAAAAGGTGTTTTGCCATTGTTTATTAGAAAATTTCAGCTTAATCCATTGCCTATATGTCACATGCATTTCATTTAACTTTGCTATACTGTATATATTGTGTATATACTGGATGAATTAGTCCCGATTTTGTAATATCTAGTCTCTAGATATTAAAGAGGTTGCCAATGTATGACAGAAGTAGAGTTAGTAAACTAATACATTTTGTACACTTTGTTAAAATTTGTAGAAAGGCTGTCTTCTGAAAAGGACTTTTGGAAGTGAAATGATAACATCAGCTCTAAGTGACACGTGCCTATATCCACCAGGTTGGTGGTGGAGAGGAGTTGGAAGGAATGAAGGGTTCTAGACCAGAATGTTCCTATTTAGAAGACACTTTGAGATATAACCATTGTTACCTGTGTGTAGTTTATTCAACACTACTGTGTATATAGCAGACAAACTTAAGTCCTTATTTGAAACATCTAGTCTTTCTAGATGTTTAGAAGTGCACAAAGTATGTTAAAAGTAGAGGTAGTAAATAACACATTTTGTAGCTATCCTTTTGATACGAAATATTGTCTTGGAAACTGATCAATTCCCTGAGCAGTACACATTTTGAGATATTTGTGCTGGTTCAGGGGGAAGGAGGAGCACAAAGTGCAAAGGGCTTTCTACCAGTGTCCAGTGTGTTTAAGAGGAGGCACATTGACCATTGTCCCTTGTGTCTGCATTTTCATTTACTGTGCTGTGTATATAGTGTATATAAGTGGACATAGGAGTCCTAATTTACATCTAGTCGATGTTAAAGAGGTTGCCAGTGTATGACAAAAGTAGAATTAGTAAACTAATACATCGAGTACACTTTGTGTTAAAATTCACAGGGAAGACTTCTTAAAAACAGAAGGAAAATTGTTAAAATCCACCCCTAAGCATTACAGATGGCTTATAGCTGTCCACCAGGTTGGTAGAGGTGGGAAAGGGAAGGGTTCTAGGCCAGAATGTTCCTATTTAGAAGACACTCAAATTATAGTCTGTGTTATGTATGTATACCATTTATTCAATGCTACTGTGTATATAATGGAAAACTTAAGTCCAGTTTGAAACATCTAGTCTTTCTAGGTGTTTAAAAGTGCACAATGGCCTGGCACAGTGGCTCATGCCTGTAATCCCAGCAGTTTGGGAGGCTGAGGCAGGCAGATCATGAGGTCAAGAGATCGAGACCATCTTGGCCAACATGGTGAAACCACGTCTCTACTGAAAATACAAAAATTAGCTGGTCGTGGTGGTGTGCACCTGTAGTCCCAGCTACTCGGGAAGCTGAGGCAGGAGAATCACTTGAACTTGGGAGGCGGAGGTTGCAGTGAGCCGAGATCGCACCACTGCACTCCAACCTGGCGACAGAGCAAGACTTCGTTTCAAAAAAAGGTGCACAATATAGGTTAAAAGTAGAGGGCTTAAGTAACACCCCTCTAAGCGTTTGTTTTCAGTACTTCCTAGGAGTGGTTGCACTTGGGAATGGAATTGTTAAAACCTGATGTTTAGGAGCGAATGCAGACTTCATTGGGTGGTTGGGGTGAGGGGGGAGGAGGTATGCAGGGAGAAGGGTTCTGTGCTCCTGAGATTAGTTCAGATGGTCTAACCATTGTTCTATATGTGCATTTTAGTTAATATTGTGTATTAAAGGATAAGTCTTAATGCTCAAAGTATGTTAAAAATAGATGTAGTAAACCAGTCCCTTTGTGAATGTCCTTTTGTTATATTTTAGGAAGGCCTGTGTTCTGGGAGTGACCTTTATGAGTTCACCTCTTAGAGCTAGACATCCTATACTTAGTCACTGGGATGGTGGAAGAGGGAGACGAGGAAGGGTGAAGGGAAGGGCTCTTTGCTAGTATCTTCATATCTAGACGATGGTTTTAGATGATAACCACAGGTCTATATGAGCGTTTTTAGTAAAGTGCCTGTGTTCATTGTGGACAAAGTTCATTATTTTGTAACATCTGAGCTTTATGAAGGGAGTGACAACTTATGATAAAAACTAAGCTAGTGAATTAGCCAATTTGTAAATACCTTTGTTATAATTGATAGAAAGATGCATCTTGGACATGGAATTGTTAAGCCACCTCTGAGCAGTGTATGTCAGGACTTACTTGTTCATTAGGTTGGCAGCAGAGGGGCAGAAGGAAGTATACAGGAAGAGGTGTATGCAGATGTGTCCATGTATGTCCATATTTACATTTTGATAGCCATTGATGTATGAATCTCTTTTGGCTGTACTATAGAAATACATTAATTCAATGGAAATATACTTTGCTAATATTTTAATGGTATAGATCTGCTAATGAATTCTCTTAAAAACGTTATACTTAGTATATTCTGTTGCTGTGTGGTTCATTTTAAATTGAGCATTAAGGGAATGCAGCATTTAAATCGGAACTCTGCCAATGCTTTTATCTAAAGGCGTGTTGCCATTTTTGTCTTCTATGAAATTTTTGTCCCAAGAAAGGCAGGATTACATTTTTGTTTTTTTGTTTTTTTTTTTTTAGCAGTTTGAGTTGGTGTAGTGTATTCTTGGTTATCAAAATACTCATATAGCTTTGGGATTTTGAATTGGTAAATATTCATGATGTGTGAAAAATCATGATACATACTGTACAATCTCAGTCCCATAAAATTGGAGGTTGTGCCTACACACACACACGATCTAGAAGAACATGTCAAACTATAAACTGCTTGTGATTTTGAATGACTTTGTTCTTTGCTTCTTGTGTTTTTCAGTTTCCTGTAATGCACGTATTAACTTTTAAAAAATAAAGTTTACTTTAAAAGCCAAAAAAAAAAAAAAAAGTTAGCATAAGCTGGCCGCTGTGGCTTTTACTTGTAATCCCAGCTACTCAGGAGGCTGAGGCAGGAGGACCCCTTGAGCTCATAAGGTCAAAGCTGCAGTGAGCTGAAACTGCACTACTGCACTCCAGGCTGGGCAACAGAGACCCTATTTTTTAAAAAAGAAAAAAAAAAGCGTAAATATAACCATTAGAATAAAACTAGGCCGGGCGTGGTGGTTCACATCTGTAATCCCAGCATTTTGGGAGGCCGAGGTGGGTGGATCACCTGAGGTCAGGAGTTCTAGACCAATACGGAGAAACCCCACCTCTACTAAAAATACAAAAATTAGCTGGGTGTAGTGACGGTCACCTGTAATCCCAGCTACTCCGGAGGCTGAGGCAGGAGAATCAATTGAACCGAGGAGGCGGAGGTTGCAGTGAGCCAAGATTGCACCATTGCACCCTAGCCTGGTGACAGAGAGACTCTGTCTCAGTAATAATAATAATAAACCTATAACAATTCTAAGTACCAACTAAAAAGAGAGAGCAAATAAAACCAACAATCCAGTGTAATACCTAGTAAAATTTTATATATATGTAAAGTTATATAAATAATTGTAATTTATGTTACATGTATAAACAATACAACAGAACTGAGTCAAATATTCAAAACCTGTACAGAATGCAAAACTAGGCTTGGACAAACAGAAAAAAAAACCATGATGTTCCTAAGAACACTCAATTTCATAGAGATGCCAGTTTCCCCAAGTTAATTTATTAACTTAATGTAATCTAAATTAAATACCATTAGCTTTTTTTGTGATTTAGACAAGTAGATTATCACATTTATTTGATATATATTTCATACATGTGTATGTATCTATATATATATTTGTCTCTATATATATTTGTACATATAGTGTATAGAACCCCATTCTTGCTTCTAAGTAGATGTGTTACCATAGAGTAATGATATTTCGTTCTTGAAGCTGACCTTGAACATTTGTAAAATGGACATACTGATACTTGCCTCATAGAACCATTATGAGGAGAAGAAAAAACCTACAGAAAGTTTCATATATCTATATATCCATCTACAGATAGATAAACTTTCTTTGTGTTCTCCCTCCCACAAACAAGATGACTTAAATATGAACATCTTATAGATATCGTTTGGATTTGAAGCAGCAGGAAATGAAATGTATATGTATTTATATGATGGATAAGTTTTAGTGCCTTTTTTTTTTTTTTTTTTTTTTTTTTTGAGACAGAGGTCACCCAGGCTGGAGTGCACTGGTGCACTGCAACCTCCACCTCCTGGGTTCAAGCAGTTCTCCTGCCTTAGCCTCCCTAGTAGCTGGGATTACAGGTGCTAGCCACCACATCTGAATAATTTTTGTATTTTTATTTTTATTTTCTATTTATGTATTTATTTATTTTGAGACAGAGTCTCACTCTGTTGCCCAGGCTGGAGTGCAGTGGCGAGTGCAGTGGCGTGATCTCCACTCACTGCAAGCTCCGCCTCCTGGGTTCATGCCATACTCCTGCCTCAGCCTCCCAAGTAGCTGGGACTACAGGCACCCGCCACCACGCCTGGCTAATTTTTGGTATTTTTAGTAGAGACAGGGTTTCACCATGTTAGCCAGGATGGTCTCAATCTCCTGACCCCGTGATTCACCCACCTTGGCCTCCCGAAGTGCTGGGATTACAGGCGTGAGCCCCTGCACCCGGCCAATTTTTGTAGTTTTAGTAGATACGGGGTTTCCCCATGTTGGCCAAGCTGGTCTTGAACTCTTGACCTCAGGTGATCCACCTACCTCAGCCTCCCAAAGTGCTGGGATTACAGGCATGAGCCACCATGCCCGGCCTTTAGTGCCATTTCTTTGAAGAATGAGATACTGGAGAATGGTGAACAAGAGAAAGTAAATCATTTGCTCTTTAGTTTTTGGTTTATTATTTTCTCCTTCTATTTTACATTTTGATATTGCAAAGAATGGGGACAGTATTGACTAACAGCATTTAAGGAACATTTACTATACAACAGACTGAAATCAGGAGACTTTGGTTTCTAGTACTAGATCCTTCCTTGTCCATAGGACCATGATGTGTCACTTCCCCTGAGCTGGCCTCAGCCCTACACAGAAAACGATTGTGTATCCCAGTGGTTAGGGATGGGGACTTGGGAGTCAGATAGAGCTCAGTATAAACTTCAGATCATTTAATAACTGGTTTTATGCTGTCTGGCAAATGTTGAGTGTCAAGATATGTGAGACCCACATACAGTGAATATACATTATATATGCACGCATGGAGGAATATAATGAGAGGAATGCACACACGATATATTTTTTGAGGTACTTAGAGGTAGAGTTGCTTATTAATTATCTCTAGACTTGACTATGTGATATATAAATATAAATATATAAATATAAACATATATATATGGCACAATCTTGGCTCACTGCAACCTCCGCCTCCCGGGTTCCAGCAATTCTCCTGCCTCAGCCTCCCGAGTAACTGGGATTACAGGTGTCTGCCACCATGCCCGGCTAAATTTTTCTATTTTTAGTAGAGACGGGGTTTCACTATGTTGGCCAGGCTGGTCTTGAACTCCTGACCTCGTGATCTGCCCGCCTCAGCCTCCCAAACTGCTGGGATTACAGGCATAAGCCACCATGCTCGGCCTCTAAATATACTTTTTTAATGTACTCTATTTTATGATGTTTTAACATCTTAAAATATTTCTGGCTGGGAAGAGACTGCTCCTCCAGGGGTTAGCCAATTCTTAGTGATAGCAAAGGGCCCTCCCTGTCAGGAACATGCCTTTGATATGCAAACTAACCAATTCAGAGCCACACATCCTCTGTCTGACCCATATACTCCAGAAGGCTATATTCCTCTACCTTAATCATCCCAGGGCCAGGTACCAGAAAACTAGGGACCACTTCTGTGGCATAGAGCTCACCAAAATTATTCAAGCTAGCCAAATGTTTTAATCTTCCCCAATTTAAATCTTTTAATTTAAAAGTAAACTTTACTGTCGAAAATGCAAACTTGGGGAGGGCAGAAAGATCACACACAGGCTGCCACTTCCACTTCACACCTGGAGGGTTGCACTGTGGCCAGGGCACAGGCGCTCCTCACTTCCCAGACGGTCGGGCGGCCAGCCCAAGCTAGTCTATTTTTAATTGTTCACCTTGCCCTGCCTTGCTTTTCCTGTAACTCCAATGAAAGCAGTGGCCTAAACCTACCCCTAATCCTGA